CATTCTCATTGCAGTAAACAATTCTGCATTTGCAAAGAGCAATATCTAAAAGTTTATCAAGCTTAGGCTCCCAGTGTTTTATGTAAGATTTTTGAGATTTGTTTCGAGCTATCTTAGAGAATGCAGACCAACTTCTACTGAGTCTTAGTGTTATTCCTTTTGTTCCACAAACTATGGGTTCTATAAATTCTGTGTTGGAAATAAGCCAGTGTTCTGCAACCTCATAAGCAACATTAGAAAAAATTTCTTGCATTGATAAATTACGCTGATTTTTTTCATAGACTAGTATTCTGTCTCACTGCAGATCCAGAAAACGCTGTAAACAGTCACGTAAGGTTGGAAATTCAGTTTGGAGGAACTTTCTAGGACCTCCAAGATACTCACTTAGTTTGGTGTTAATCGATTTTCTGGTTTTCTTGCTAACTAATAACGCCATTTTTCTTTTTTTAATATATTATGAGTCTGAAAGATATAAAGGCAGCAATAACGGCAATTAATTTGAAATTAAATTTAAATAGTAATTATAATATTTATAAGGTATATTTGTATATTAACTGATACTTATACATAAAATAATTTTTAAAAAAACTCAAAACATATTATCAAAATTAAGCATAGGGCTAAACAGTATTTTAAATAATTATTATGTACATTTATAGCATAAATAGTCATCAATTAGAAAAAAATACAATATTTTTGGAAAATTAAAAACGTTTTCCCGGTACCAAGACTTGTTTTTTCACTAAAAAAAAGTATACAATTCAACTCAGGGTATTTGAATACATAGGAAAAGTGATGTACTGAATGAAATTCATGACATGCAAAAGTATGATATACCCTAATATATATATATATATATATATATTTATATATATATATATATATATATATATATATATATATATAATATATATATATATATATATATATATATATATATATATATATATATATATATATATATATATATATATATATATATATATATATATGTATATATGTATATATATATATATATATATATATATATATATATATATATATATATATATATATATATATATATACTTGCAAAACCTTGTAACAGTCTGATCAATCAAATGGTCTTAATTTGTCAATAGACAAAAACACTTAATTGCATTGGCTATGAATATGAAAACAAAACCACTTATCATCACAATTACAAAAAAATCAATTATGAGGTCTTGCAGTTTCAGTGACAATATAGAAAAGGTTAGCTGAAAAAAAAAATTTTTTTGATGGAACTTAAAGTTTCATGCCATTTTTGGCACTCATCAACTATATAATAAATCAAGAAGAAAAAACAATTTTAAAATACAATTTTAAATAATAATTATAAACCGTTAAAAAATTTGATTAAAAAATAAAATGCAATGGAATGAGTTCTGACGTCAAATAATAAAAATAATAATATGGAAAAAACATCTTTACTAATTTTCCTGATTTTGAATTTTGAATTCCAAAAATTTTTCCTTGGAGACAGTCTGAGGTATTTTGCAGAAGAACAACAGTCTGTCTAATAGTTATCTTTCAGTATTTGCAAGAAAACTACCATGCAGAAATATATCATCCTTTGAGACATAAGACCTAAGAAAAAGTGTTACTTGATTGCTGCAAATTTAATATTGATTAATGGAAATCAAAGTTAATAAATATTTTTTTTGGTAGAGTTAAAGAAACCAATTTAGATTTCCTAAAATTTATTGGATAGTGTGGAGGTTGAAAGAAAGTCTTTTTAAATCATTTTCTGTTTCAGAACTTTTTACTTCTTTTCCTTAAAGTCTTTTTATGAATCATTTGATTGGTAATCTTTCCTTTTAACTTTTTTAAATTCTTTTTACTTCTCTTTTATTTTTACTGCTTTTTTACTTGGTCTTTCTGAATTTGAAGTTGTCTCTGATTATTTTTTTCTGTATATTCTGTATATACCTTTTTTCTGTATATTTCTGTAAATACCTATATTCAGTTAATTAAAAAATAATTTAAATATTCCAAATAAAAAAGTTATCGTTTAACATGAAACTACTGAAAAATGTAACACTTTAAAGGCCTGTCAAAGTATTTTTTTTGACAAATTTAATTCTATAACTTTATCTTTATTTAGTTAACTATAATTAATCCTTAAATAAAATTTGTAAAAAAAATAAAATAGTATTTTTGCTCAAACTTCTTAAATAAAACCTTTTTATTTTTTATTTAGGAAGTATTTTTTTCAAATACGTTTAAATACTCATACAATTTTCTTATGTTCTAATTAATAAAAGAAAATGCAAAAAAACAAACTTTGGCACTGAGACTTTCAAAATATAGTTTTATTGCTATTTTAGATTTTTATAAAATTTTTAAATTAAAAAAAAAAAAAATAGAACTTTTGATAAATAAAAAATTAATAACTGCCCATTCACATAACTATTGATTATTTATTTATCAAAAGATTATTTTTAGTTGCTGTTCACAAAATTCTGTTGTTTAGTACCGTTGGGAGACCACAAGTGTACACCTCTAAAATAGTATAAAGTGATTGGATGATGATTGTGGTAAAATATTGGATGATTGTGATGATATATTGGATGATATAATGAAAGACAACAACTGAGTGGAATCACAATTATTATCTAATATTTCAAAAAATAACAACAGTATTAAAAGGGATATGTATATGAATAACCTTATAATGTTTCCATGCTCCTGCCACACTTGGCTCATGCATATGTCTGGTGGTAATGGATCAACATCTTCCTCAAATGCACTTTCATCACAAGACATACGAAACATCATAGGAGAGGATGTGTAAGATTTACGAATGTATGTTGATTCATTATTCTGACTTTCCATCACTAAAACAAAAAAACTTGTATAAAATATTATACTTATAACTAATAAATACCTTCAAAAAAAGTTGATTAAAAAGTACCTGCATTCATATAATTGACACGTGGAGAACTTTTAATATTTGTATTTGGTGAACGAGCTGATATAGCAGGAGAACCTGTCTTTCCTGCAGGTGATGCTTTCCATCCCTGAAAAGGAATAGGTGGACAAGAATGACGCTTTTTAGGAGCAGGAGATTTTGATAGTCGAGTATCACTAGTGGAAACATAGCTCAATGATTGGTTTGATAAAAAAAGAAACTCAGGTAAATTGTCTTGTTGCTGCAAAGGATCAGGCATGTCCTAAAAAAAAAAACAGATGTAATGGATTCAAAACCAGACAAAACAGCTAAAAATTAAAAAAATTATTATATTTCTTTCAAAAGTTGATCATTTTGTATCTCAATAGTTTCAACCAATCCAATTACAAAAAAGATTTTATTTTAGAAAAATGTAGCAAAAGTGTACAGGGTTTTAGACTGTTATCATTTTAAAAAATCCTATGTCAGGCTCAGATTTAAGGTAAAAATGATGAAAACGTAATTAGTACATACAAAAAATAAATGAATTAAGTTGATAGATTTTTTTTTAATGTTAAAATAAGTTATCATTAAAAAGAGAGATCACTCATTCTAAAGTAAAAAAAATATATTTTTTTTTAATTGACGTTAGTTATTCTCTAGTTAAAACTTTTTAATATGTTTATTATTATGTATTCTTATAATCAGTGATAGACCGAAACCAAAATAAACTGAAATTTCGGGTACTCAAATTTGGTGCCGAAACCGAAACCAAAATTTTGGCAAATATTTTACCCAAACCAATACCAAAATTTCAAATAGTCAAAATTTATTTTATTAAAAAAATTTATTTAAAAATGTAATTTTACATTTATTGTTTTTTTATACTCGTATTATGTTAAACATAATTACATGTGAATCCCAAAATTGAGATTTGGGATACATGTGTAATTTGTGAAAATTCTAAAAAATAACTGTTTCTCTAAATTAAGTAAATATCGGTTTTCGGTATATTTTTCAACCTAAATTTCAGTTTTTACCGAATTTATAAAAAGTACTGAAACCGAAATTTTGGTATCAGTTCAAATTAAAGTTTTAGCAGAAACAGAATTTCGGTCGATCATTACTTATAATACAAAAACTCTTTATTTACATTTTTACTGTTTATCTTAATTTAGGAAAGTTTCAAAATTTTTTTCTTATTAATAAATAGTACACTTTAAAATTAGTTCATTATGTTTTTATATTAAAGAAACTAAAAATACTTTTGGTAAACTAAATTTGCTGGTAAAATACACCGAAAATAACGACAGCATAAATTATATAGATAAAATTTTAAAATGTATTTTCCTTTTATTTAGAAATGCAAAAGTTTAATTTACAAAAACAAATTTATTGTATTTATTTTTAAATACAAAAATTAAAACTAATTTTTGTATTTAATAATTTTTTTTAAAATATTAATACCTAGTATACTAGATATTTAAATTGGCCACTTAAATTTACTTGCTGCCTTCATGTGTTGAACAAATCTCACTCTGGTCCTCAAATCCTTTTGTTACTTATTTAACTTAATTCTAAAACAACATATTGCAACAAAAGTTCTTTTAAATAATATTTTTTTCAGCTAAAACTGGAATCACTATAGTTTTTTTACTTTATGCTTTAAAACACCATTGCTGATGATGTTTTAAAAACTTAAATATTTAATGCAATATTGAATCACTATAAACTCATCTATTTATATATGTTTATTCAATAGCCATTATTTATTTATATATAAGTTTAATCAGTAGTTTTAAAATACTATAGTATTTAAAATAACATTCCATACAATATATAGTATTTTTATCAACTTTTTTCAGCTATTTAAAAAGTTACAAGAGGATTGTGGGAAACCGTCAAAAAAGTTTTGTTAAAAATTTAATACTATTAAGCATATTTTTTTTACATTTATAATTTAAAAATGATAATAAATATAAAAGAAGACATTATTTTAAATGATTGTTTAAACTTTTTTAAATTGTATTTAAAAGCGATGTATACAATTAATATAGATTATCCAGGTCATTTTAAAAATCCGATCACATGAGTTTTTTAAAGTTGCCATTATAAGAGGATAAAAAAGTAAACAAACTGTTTGCGGTATTAATTTTAATACCATTTGAAATAGGTTTTTACTAGACTTTAGTACCAATGTTAATATATTAATAAAATATTTAATATCAATATGGTATAATAATAAAGATTTATTTTATATTTAAAATCAATACCAAATTATTTACTAAATTTACTATAAAGAAATGTTGTGCTACAAAACATTAGATGCTCCAAAAATAGATATGATCTATTTTTGGAACATCTAATTTTTGAATCTTATACAAAGGAACTTAGACACTTGCTTAATTCCAGATAACGAACTCAAAAACAATGAAGAAACCTTTCCAGCTTACACTGATTTATTATATTATCTATTATTTTCACCAAGTTCTTATACAGCTGAGGATATGAAGACCTATAAATCATGGAAACGATTCAATAATAAATAACAAGCGATTCAATAAGAATTAATATATTTAGTAAACTTTTTAAGGTGTTTCATTCTCAAAATCTAAATAATACCCAAATTAATCCATGGATTTTTGCACAATTTAATATCCACATTGTAATTGCAAGGCAGGCCTTGGTGAAGCATCTACACATACCTGCTGCAGTTTTATTTTGGATTGATAAAACTGTTAAAATGTGAGAATCTAAAACAGTAACTGATTATAATTCTTAATGGTTATCACTAAACCCACGAGCAAAGTTAACAATTTTGCTGGTGGGTTTGGTGGTAACTGCTGGTGGGTTTGGTGGTAAAATTAAAAAAACTAAAATTAATTATAAAAAAGTAAAATCAATTATAAATCAAAACTAAAGGCAGCTATTCTATGAACAATCCTTGAATCAGCTCATAAATACTCTACTGAATCTTATAATTCTAAAGTACCAGATGGTGTTATTAAATATTCTTTTTTTTAAAAATATTCATAAAAATTAAATTTCTATACAGGTTTAGAAAAACCATTACAAGATATGATTCAAATTGAAAAAAACTTGTTATTGCTAATTAGAAAAAAACAATCAATTATCACTTAAAAAAGACCAAGGATAATTTTACCAAGTAAAAACTCAACTTCTTGTTATTGAATATTAATGCTGCAATTTTTTCTTCACAAAAAATTAAATAAATTAAAAGACTTTTTAATTTATTTAATTTTTTGTGAAGAAATCTTAACATATTAAAGGAATTTGAAAAAAGTATCCTTATCATTAAAAAATTAATTTCCAAACTTGGGAACTTAGACATATTGAAAGCAATGTCATTTCAGGATCTAATTTGTTACTGTCACATCAGTTCAAAAGATGGCGATATGATTATAAGATGTACCAATATACATTTTAAAATTAAAAAAATCGCTAAAATGGTTTTAGGACAAAAAAGAATTTACCTTAAGAAATATTATACATTTAAACATTAAAAAAGTAAAAAAAAGCATGCTGAGAAAAAAAAAAACTTCATTATTGGTGAACAAAAATGTTGAGAGAGAAAAAGTTTTTTAATGTTAATTTAAAAAAAAAAAGATTTAGATAAAATATTATTATGTTCAATTAATCTTGTAAACATTTATATAGTTTAATGGCATATTATTTTTAAATTATTGTTCAAATTATTTGCTAATTAAATTCTACCCAAGTTAAACAAAGCACATACTGAATGAACAATTTTATCTAATGTTGTATGAGATTCTCCATTTTTAGTAAATAAAAACTCAACGTTTCTTGAGTCACGTAACCCACGGAAACACTCTATAGAAAATGCTTTGGATATCCGAAATAACTAAAAATTGAAAAAAAAAAAAGAAATTCCGGAAATATCTGGAAAAGGATAATCCCTGAATTAAAACAAATCAAGGTATCAAAATTATTAATTCAAATTTTAATTGCAAATAATTGTCTTTTGTTCTTATTTTCTCTCTACTATATCACACAAAAATGATTTAAATATGAAAAAACTTAATTAGATTGCTCAGAATGAAACAAGTTGAATAATTATAATTTAACATTTATAAAATATAAATATATTCCTGCTATGAAAATAACCCACCAAGGAATAAATCATTTCAAAAATATTTATATAACTAAAAAATGTCAATGTTTTCTTATATAAATATAAGTTAGGAAAATAATGGCGCGAACCATGGGTCGCCTTGAATTTTTTTTTAATTTTTGGAATGCAATGACCTTTTTTTTTTGTTTGCCACACCTAATATCCAATATCACATAAAAACACTATACAATTTCTTTCTGGCAAACACCCTGGTATAAGAACTAGGCCCAGTCTTCCTTTAGCAATGAAAAACCTGATGCTAAAACTTTTTCGAATAATGATCTAATAAAATTATTATCTTAGCAAAAAACTGTATATTATAGACATCACTTTATATCAATATATAAAAACATGTTAAAATACAACATGTCATCATTAATAAAAAGTATTATCAATGTGATACAAAGACAAAGAAACATTCAATACAAACTTTTACACAAAAGAATATTTAACTTTTAAAGTTTTACAATGCATAAAAATTGTACAATACCTTTTCTTCTGCTTTTTTAATTAGCCATATTGAATGCAAACCAAGCATAGTATCATAAGACAACGCAATAGAATGTTCTTTACTTGTGTATATTATATGCTGAGAAACATCTGTAAAATAACTTGGTCTGCAACTATCTAAAAAAAATTATCAAGTAAAAATTAAGTTAAAAGCTCAATGCTAATAAGTTTAGTTGTTTGAATTTTTTTTTTTTTCATTTTTGTTTTTTTTAATTTATTAATTTAAACAAATTATTTAAACAAGTTTAGTCATTTGAACTTTTTTTTTTCAGCATTTTTGTTATGTTTTAATTTATCTATTATCGTTACGCAGCTTTCATTTTATGCACATATGGCGATTTGCATACGCATTCTGCATTCAGAAGTTTTAGGATAAGCAAAGACATTTTTATTATGGAATATTTAAATTATCTTTTAATATCATTTATGTGATAATTATTAAGAAAATATTAGGTCATAAAAAAAAGCGTCTAAAAGCAATTGTGAACTTTATAAAGAAACAGTTTTATTAAAAATTTTATAAAAACTGTTTTTTTTAATTAGAGACTTTAAATTAAAGATCTAATTAAAAAAAAATTATTGAAGATGTTTTTTCTGTAATTCATTTTCTAACTACATAAAACATTTTTTAATTACATAAAACATTTCTACATCATAGATTAAATTCGAAAGTAATTTCGCAGTACTGTTGACACTATTGCAGTATTGTTGACATTCCTATATTGATGAATGGTAACCCTCACACTGAGTCCTCTTCTTTACATCTTCTTGGATAATCATATATTAGATTATCATAGATTGTATATATATGATATATACAATCGATTGCTAAATTAGCATCTGTTAAGGTTGCTTCTCTTTATTGTGCTCCTGATTCCATTCTCTACCTCTACAAATCTCTTATTCATCCCTGTATGGAATAATGTTTTTAAATTTGGACTGGTTCTTTTAATGATGCTCTTTCTCTTCTAGACAAGTTTCAAAAACGAATTGTAAATGTAGTTGGACCCGTTCTATCTGTTAAGCTTAAGCCTCTTTGCCATCATCGTTAAGTTGCATCTCTTTCTTTTTCTTCAAATACTATCATGGCCGCTGCTCTAAGGAGCTTTCATCTTTAGTTCCGTCAACAAAAAATCATTCTTGCTTGACTGGTCATTCATCTAAGTCTCATTCTTTTACTGTAACTGTCCCTGCATGCTCTAAAAACTTTTATTGGTCTTCTTTCTCCGCACTTTAACCCTTTGGAACTCTCTTTCCCATCTTCAAGTTTTACTGACTCATACAACTTTCAACTTTTTAAGTCTTCTCTCAACCGTTTCCTTGCTCTATAATTCTATTCTTTTTTTCCAGTTAATAGTGGTTACTTGCAGCCTTGTTTGTAGTGAATGCGAATAAAATAAAAAAAGCAAATAATTATTTAAGTTATCTATAGAAGTTTAGTTATTTTAACTTTTTTTTTTTTTAAACTTTTTTAAAACTTTTGTTTTGTTTTATCTATTTAAATAAATTATTTAAACTTGAGTCGTTTCTAATTTTTCTCTCCAAACTTTTCTTTATTTTTCTATGAGTGATGATGAGTCATTTGAACTTTTTTTTAGCATCTTTGTTTTGTTTTAATTTATTTATTTAAATAAGTTTAAACAAGCTTTTTGTATGTAAAAAAATTTTATCTAACTATTTTTTTCAAAATTCAAAATTTATAAATCAACTATTTAAACATTTTTACTTAAGTTTATATTTTACACACACGCACACATAATGACATAAATTTTGTTTTATTCTGTTTATTTCTAGGATACTATCATTATAAGCACTAATCATAGATTATTCAGGTTGTATTTTAAAAATCCAGAAAATTATTTAGGTAAAATATCGGGAAAAAAACCGGAATATATTTTCCTTTATTTTACTCTTAATTTTGCTTTTAGCCGAGTTGTTTCTAATTTTTCTCTCCAAACTTTTCTTTATTTTTCTATGAGTGATGCGTGAAAAAGCTTAAAAGACAATCCAAAACTTTTTTTTTTTTTTTTTAAATTTAAAAGTTAAAGCTTATTGGTAAAATTTTTAAATAAGGGCCTCAAATTGAATCAAGAAAATAAAATTGACAAAAAAAAAGGAAGATTCCCAAATTGTATATTCTTTCTTTTTAAATTATAGTCAGAACATGATGTTACAGTCAGAACATGATGTTAAAGTCAGAACATGATGTTACAAAAACAATTCAACAGCTCCTAAAAAGTAACCTTTTTTTTTTCATTTCAATATCCTCATAAGTGCCAGGAAAAGATAACCTTCTTAAGCCAAGATATTTTATAATTTTAATCACCCAAGATTTATAATTTCAATCAGGAGTAGACTCGATACTACTTGAGGAGGAGACTCAATACTACTCGAGGAGGAGACTCAATACTTCTCGAGGAGGAGACTCAATACTACTAAAAGTTTTAAACAGGGGTCCAGACTCTAAGCTTTCTATATCAAAGTTTTTAGAATAAAATTGTGTGGAGAGGATATTCTTCTGACAAATTCATTTGAAAGAATTTAATAATAAATAAATGGTTAATAAATGTGCAACAAATTATAAAACTAAAAAAAGGCTTTACATGTAACTTAATAAAACAAACCTTGATATCTGTAAACAACAGGTTTAAAGTCTTCTAGAGGGTGCAATAAACTGAACAATATTGGCATTTTTCTAATGACAAAAACAAATATTGAAATTAATTTTTTGAAAATTTCATTTTCATAACAAAGATTTATTTAACAAAATTATAATTTTTATTGATGTTGTTTTCTTTTTTTAAAACTCTTTGTTAAATTCTTTAGTGCTTGTATGTAAAAAAGTGTTTTAGATTTGTTTTAAGTTACCAACTAAATTCTGATTTAGTATTAGTGAGTATCTAACAATTTAAAGCTAAAAGTAAAAAACTAAAAACCAAAAAAAATTTAATAACTTAAAAGCTACATTTAAAGTTAAAATATTTAACTTTGAAAATTAAATATTTTTAACTATTAAACAAATTTGATTTTTTGTATATTTTTTTTAGATGTTTTTAGACTTTTATAGAGAAAAATTCTCAAATAAACAGCAGTCATCAAATTATTTTTGCAGATAAAAACAACGTATTAAATGGTACAACACTATAAAGCATAAAACATTAATGTTAACGATTTTTAATAAAGCTTACTATTTTGAACTTTATTGTTAATTTGTGTCTATTATATACTGTTTTAAATTGTTTTATGACTAAGTTAAAAATAAAATTATAAACAAAGTTAAACAGAAAATCATGCGGACTAACTTCCTATCATCTTCAGTTTCATACGATAACACCTCTCTTTCAACACAAATCCCAATACTTATCTCCCACATCTTTTTAACCTATAAAAAAAGATTAAAATTTCAAATTATTTAGACAAACTGCATAAGATAAAAAAAAATTCATTAATTACTTTTATTTCTGATTCTGACAGTAACATGTTTTGCCTACAAGGAATCTGATTATTTTGAATATGACACTATCACTAAGAATAATACTGTCTAAAAATGTACACAGCACTTATCCCACCCAGATGAAGAGATCCCACCCAGATGAAGAGTTCCCACCCAGATGAAGAGATCCCACCCAGATAAAGAGATCCCACCCAGATGAAGAGAACCCATCCAGATGAAGAGATCCCACCCAGATGAAGAGATCCCGCCCAGATGAAGAGTTTTTAATAAAAAAATTATTGCAAGATTAATGTTTTGTCAGTATGATGTTGTCAGTAACTTGTGTTTTTATGCTGTTAGTAACTAGTGTTTTTATGATGTTGTCAGTAACTAGTGTTTTTATGATGTTGTCAGTAACTAGTGTTTTTATGATTTTGTCAGTAACTAGTGTTTTTATGATGTTGTCAATATCAAACTACTGTTCAGATTCGAAACTAAACACAACAAAAACAAGAATTACATATAAACATACAAAAAAAAAGAAAAAGAGACAACACTCTATCTTGCTTATAAAAAAATACATAAGAAAAGTATTGTAAATAAAAAAGCTCCCCAAATTTCTCCCAAATACGAATAATGCTGTTGAAAAGGGTCTAGAATGGCCTCTGATATATGTGTCTGTAGTTAGAGATTCTCAGTTTTCAATTTTTCTTTGTAAAAAAGGTATAGAAACTTGAACAACTTGTCTTTTGCTCTAATAAAAATTTTTCAACTAAAAAATATAAGTTTGATATCTTTTTGCTAACAAAGCTCAACACTCTTAATAACAGGCAGTCAACAATCAATTTTTTTTATTTTTTTTTGAAAATATGATATTTTAATCTCTTAAAATCAGTTTCATTCAAATTTGATTAGAAAAAATTGTTAATTGATTTTAAAAAAATTATTAAAATTTTACTATAAGTCAAACTTTTACAATAAAATCTAATTCAACTATTTTAAAAATAGAAGTTTAGCACAACATTAACAGCAATGTCATTTGATGTTAATGTATATGGAGTTTATACCAACAATCAAAAACATAAATGTTTTTGATTGGTGGAATAAACATCAAATGTTTTTGATTAGTGGAGTGAACATCAAGTGTTTTTGATTGATAAAATAAACATCAAATTTTAATTGGTGGATTAAACATAGTTTACCATAACAAATAAAACAAAAAAAAGACCATAATTTTATCTCAAAATTTCAGTATAAAAAAAAAAGAAAACTTTCAGTTTAGTATTCATGGAGAAAACTTTTAGTTAACTATTGATTGAGAAATCATTATTATAAAATCATAACTATTTAAGCAATAATGAAGTAGCTTTAATTTTAAAATTTAAAGTTTTTTTTTTTAAAATTAGATTCTGTTATCATTACTATTTAAAAATATATACACATGTAAGATATTATTAAAAAAAATTGATTTTTTTATTATTATTAAAAAATATAAACAGACCGTGAGTTAAAATATTTAAAAAATAAGATAATACTAAAAATTTTAATTTTTATACATATTCTGTAATAGCAATAGTTATAATCATAAAATAATAATTAAAATGATAATAATTAAAACATTCTATGAAAAGAAAATGTTTACAATTAAAAATACTAACAACAACCAAAAATAAAAGAAGCCGTTTTCATACATCATAAAACTACTTTAACGTTTTTAAAAAAATATAATGCAACTTGATTTATTTAATTGATAGTTTTTTATTTTAAAAAAAAAGAAAATAAATAAATATATAAGCCTATTAAACTCTAGATAAATAATAAAACAATAAAATAAACAATAAATTAATAAAAGATAAAAGTAAGGTAAGATAAAAGATACTTGTGTAAAGAATTTTTTAATGAAAATAATCAAAAAACTACTTTTAATATGAAAATTAATGGACTCTACAGCCTTGAGAAGTGGTTATCCAACAACAACGATTTTTGTTACAATGCATTTTTGGACCTACTCTAGAAGAGAAGAAGTACAAGATAAAAAATTTATATAAATAATTGCATGGTCATAACTACCTAAGGAAAACTTAACACAAGCTAGGGTCAGAGAAAAAACACAAATCAAGGAGTACAGGTAAGTGATTAGAGTTGTCTGGAAATCATCCTAAAGGTAACTATCTGATAAAGAAACTGAGAAATGCAGAAGTTATGGGCTTTAGTGCCAGCAGGGCGTTAGAGCCAAATCATTCAGTGTGATAAATCTTAAAATCACCAATAGCAACAATTTTGGCAGAAGGGTAAAGAGAAAGAGCATGGCTAATTTGATCAGAAATTAAATCTAACAGTTGGTAGTGGAGAAAAGTGAGAGGACATGGTCAATTTTGAAATTCTAAAAGAATATCTAAAAGAGAAATCTAAAAATCTAAAATCAGAAATCTAAAAGAGTTCAGTATTGAGAAGGAGAACAATAAAGAACAAAGAGATAAAGTATGCTAAGCAGATAAAGTATAGTCAAAAGATTTATTAATTAACCCAAATTCATAACATAGGGCTTCTTATGTGGCTTCAACAATGTGCGCTAATAGCATTAACAGGGACACCATTCGCGCACAATATGGATGTAATACTGTAAAATATCAGAGTGTTAATACTGTTAATACATGTTTCACAGCTGTTGATGGAATCAGTTTCTCTAAGAGCTTTAATAAGGAGTTTAAGAAACCTTACTACCAGCTGGCCTCAGAACCATTAAACTAAGTTTTAGAGCTACATCTTCATTAACAGTTAAAAAGAGTTGCATAGCCACTATCAAGAAAACACAAGCAAAAAATCTATAAGTAGAGTCAAGAAGATCAAGATCAAGTAGAGTCAAGAAGATCCAGCATTTATTAACCAAAGTAGGAAAAAAATTTAACACAAGTTTACATCTACGTTAGTCTAATAGATGAAGGAGTTCAAGGCTGGTCAAAATAATTATTTTTCTTACCCCTAACTTTTTTGCCAAGGGGGCCTTCTACAAGACAGTAGCTGGATATACTTAAATATATATTTTATATATTTAAGTATATCCAGATATATAAATGGATATCCATATATATAAATGGACATATTTACAACACAGTAGCTGGATTATACTTAAAGCAAATCCTGATAAGTTTTCTTTAAAGTGAGTGAGTCAGTCAGAATGAATAAAATGTCATAATGAACTAAGAACTATCCACGCATTATGATTACAAAACCTTAATGAACTAATAACCACTCCCACATTAAAATCACAGTCTTGTCACAGAACTGTTAGTCTTGATGAACATTAAAATTACACAGAGTTAATGAGTTAATAATCACCCACACATAAGAATTACACAGCCTTAAAAAGTTAATAATCCCCCACACATTAGGATTAAACTTAAAGAACTAATAGTCTTTATATATTTTTTCATATTCATTTAATTATAATATTAAAACTTGTTAATTCATACTTTTTAGTGGATAGTTTTTTTAAGTATTTCTGCGCCTTTTATTTGAAGCAATAATTAACTTGTTTAACTTTAAATAGTTACCTTAAATATTATTATTAAATAGTTACTTTATATGTTATTATTAAATAGTTACCTTAAATGGCAGAGGAGTATAATAAGCAGTACCTGTGTCAGTAAACACACTGAGGTACCCTTTCTCTAATATGCACAAACAGTCATTAAGCTCTAAATAAACAATATTTTTAATTAGATGTATACCTTCCATTAAAGTAAAGCATAAAATTACAGCACTGACCTTGAGAGTCATCTACCATTTGAAATTTAGTGTAAACAACATCTTTTATATCAGTTTCAACTGTGAAGCATTTACTAAGCAAATATGTATTGTGATATACATCGAGAACACTTACAACCACTGTTCTGCCATTCCAGTATACCTACAACAATAAATAAAACAAACTTGGATAACTGTAGACATAACAACATTAAAAATTAAAAACAGCAAAACAAAAAAAATTAAAATTAATTTTAACCTCTTCTTCTGTGTATTCATTGTTGCCATTTCTTTTTTTAACGTGAATAAAGCAACCTTCATTCTAAACAGTTATTTTTTATTTATTTATTTTTTATATAAATAATAATATAAACATCACTTATAATTATTTTATGTAGTAATAATAGTAGCACTGTATTAAAATTATTAACAATGCCAATTTTTTACTAGTTAAATTGTTTTTTAAAAAGTAATATTTAGCTTCAAATAAAAAGTTTGAGTTTACTTTGATTGCGTTTGAAAAAGTATTGAATTCAAGAAAACCAAATTAAAAAATAATTGAACTAAATAACTTTAAAGTTTTGCTTAGTTTCTATATGGGGGTAAATAATTTGAGAATTTGTATGTATGCATATATATATATATATATATATATATATATATATATATATATATATATATATATATATATATATATATATATATATATATGCATATATATTATTATTTTAAAAACATCAATAAATACAAATTTCTCTTGATACTAAATTTATTTTTTATTTTTTGTTGGATTGTTGTGACTAGCATTTTTAGCTTAAAAGTTTTTTGTTTGTTTTTGCTTACATTTTATTTTTAAAATGGCAGTTCTATTTTTTGTCAATAGGATGGTTTCATCTCTTTCTGACGTAAGTTGTCCAAAAATGATTTCCAAAATTTTGACACATATTGTCCCTTATCTAAATTGATACCATTTTGTTTAAAGGCACATCGGTGGTACTGTATTTTAAGTGCCTCACAAACTTGAATATCAAACATTTTAGCATCGACTTTTAGGGTTCTGCAACTGTCCCATTTTATTTGTTGTGCACAATGTCTCTTGTGTGTGGCTAATGCAAATTGTTCTGTTTTATTTCCTATTGTACTGTTTCTGTGTTGTTGCATGCTTATTTGTATTTGCATTTTTGTTTCAAATATACACTTTTTACTACAATGACATTTAATAAGGTAGACTCCTGGGTGGCTGTTTATTTGTAGCTTGGATTTATTTCTTGATGTTAATATTGCCTCTAGGTTCAAGTTTGATTTGAAGACTGTTTTATATCTTGCTTTCCTAAACACCTTACATAATTTAGACACAACTTATTACCTAGGCACATTAATAACATAAGTAAATCTATCTTAACATATGCACAACAAATTTTGTTCCCCTGTTTTGATGTTTTTAAAAACTTTAACCTTTTTTAAAATACTCTCTCTTTCATTTGTTTATCTTTATATTTATATATATATTTATATGTTTATATTTATATATATATTTACAGAGATTTAAAAATGTTTTGTTCTGTATTTTAGAAAATTGAAAACGATTCAAAAACTATATATATATTAGCAAGCAAAAAAGAATTGAACCCCTAGCTACTTAGGCCAATAAGGCAAGGGTAAGACTTATATAAGCATTATAATAGTAACTATATAAGCATTATAATAGTAACTTCCAGGGTATAACTTTATGAAATGACAAATGCAACAAATCAAAATTAAGGAGATATACCCAGAATGCAATTTTAAAGTAAAAGTAAAAATGTAAAATTTGATATAATTTTCAACATTAAATAATTTGAAGTTTACTTAATTTAAATGTTTGTATACACTTTTGTTCACATTTTCTTATAAAAAAGATGCAGCAACTCTTTTTTGTCATTAACTTGAGTGTAATAGATGCTGCGAGTTCTCTGCAAACTTGCACAAATGAGCATTAATAAGTTGCTTATTATTATATATAATGTTTAACTGATATGATTGCTGACAATTTTTTTTAAAAAAAAAGCTTATAAGAATCACATAACTTCGCTTTTGCTGTAAACTTTTGCTTGATAAAAATAAATAACATATATTCGATTGAATAATTACTTGATAAAATAACATAATCTATTTGATTGAATAACTGCTTGGTGAATTTGAAATTAAATTTTTTTATTTTTACAAGTAAGCAATATATAAAAAACAAACAATACATAAAAAGTTTTAATTTTTAAAATTTGATGAAGTGCCAGGCATTAATATGGTTACATAAACTGCTTTTAAAATTTTTTGTTGAGTTTGTGTTGAAGATGATAGCAGGTCCCTACCCACTAGTTCCTACCTGCATTCCAATGGTTAATGACTCATTGTCATTAACAATTGGAACACACTACATTTTTTCAAAATAAACTTTTACTATAAAGCCAGGAATATAGCCATTATGAGGTCATGAAAATTGGTCTAATTAACTATAACTTTAATTTTGAGTTAAATTTCATAAAATTAAATTTCATAAATTATCATTATCATAATTTGATAATGATAATTTATCATAAGCATGTTTGTATTTTCAGGTACTTAAACTAAATAAAGATTTACAATAATTAAAAAAAAATTATGAAATACTTGCAGCTATAGATAAAAATAAAGATCAAAAATGACAAAAAATCAATTTTTGCAAACTTTTAAAGCATGATATTTTGACAAGCAGAAATGTTTACTTTATTTATTTTATTATTTTTAGTTCTAAACTAACCAGTAAACAATAATAAGGAAAAATACCCATTAAAAAGTATATAGTTTGTTCTATTTTTATGTATAAAAATACTTTTGACACCATTTAGTCAATATTCCTGAAAAATTTGTCAAACTTATAAGTCAAAAATTTAAAGAAACTACGAAAAAAAAATTTAATTTTTGGAAAATTTTCTTTCTACTATGAATAACATCAACATACTAAAAATATAGCAAGTTTGAAGAGGGTAACTTTTTTGTTGAAGAGGGTAACGTGAGCTTTGCCTGATTTATGGTTCAGATTGATAAATAGTAATGTAATTGCAAAATACTTTCTGAAGGCCTAATAATCAGCCTACAATCAATTAATTTTTGAAGAGTAAAAAATTGATTTTTTGACTCTTCAAAAAAAGTGTACTGAGTGTACTGGGACATGTCATCAGTGCTAACATGAAGGCATAATTTAATTGTAATCCTAATGTCATTTGGGAAGGTGAACCTTTTTAGCTGTGGTAAAGGCAACTTACCTAAGAGAAGGAAAGTACTGATATAAAACTCCCCATTTAACGTTGGGTAAAACAGGAAAAAGTTTGAAAACTTTGGAAATTCCTTTAAAACTTTGGTGATAGTATCACCATAAAAATATTCTGTACTGGTCTGCAAAAAAAAGGTTAGTGCTAGGAAGGGCATTTAGTTTTACAAAAATGTCATATTTAAATAAAAAACATTTAAAAATCAGCACTATGGAAGCCCATCCAAACCACGCATGAGTAACTATGGACATTAAATTTTAAAAAATGGTTTGGAACAACTTTTACTAAAAAATCAAATACTTTGTTGCATTAATTATATCTTATTAATAACTATTATAACTTGCTTCTCCATGCAGCGGCCATGTTCGTCAAGGTTCATGTTTCAGAGATATATAGTTGAGATAGAGTTATAACCACAATTAAGTAGCCTCCTTGTCTGTAGTGACCTTGTCGGCCTTGGGGAGGTAAATTAATATTTATAAAAAAAAAACTGGATATATAATCTTGTTGTTATGGCAAGAATTATAATTACATAGTGACTTTTTTTCTTTTCCTTCCTTTCTATTTTATTAATACTGGCAAATAGTACCGGCAAATATGTTTTTTAATGCTTACTTTTAACTGTATTTTTTATATCTGTCTATAATATCTTTTTTGTTTAAGCTAATTTTATGTTTGCCTGTTTTGATAAGATTTATCATTCTTATTTAATTTCATTTTTTTTTTTTTTTTATTTGCATTCACTCCCAACAAGGCTGCAAGCAACCACTATTAAGTTGGGAGTTATTAGGAAAAAAAAGAACAGTTATAGAGCAAGGAAACGGTTGACAGAAGACTTGAAAAGTTGAAGGTTGTATGAGTCAGGAAAACATGAAGATGGGAGAGATTTCCAAAGGATTGAAGTGCGGGAAAAAAAAACTAGATGAATAAAAGTTTTTAGAGCATGCAGGGACAGATACAGTAAACGAATAAGACTTAGCAGAATGACGAGTAAAACGAGAATGAATTTTAGTTGATGGAACTAGAGATGATAACTCCTTTGAACAGTGACCATGATAGTATCTGTAGAAAAGAGAAAGAGATGCAACTTTACGACGATGGGAAAGAGGTTCAAGCTTAGCAGATAGTCCAGGTCCAACAACATTTACAATGCATTTTTGGATCTTGTCAAGAAGAGAAAGTGAATCGTTAGAAGAACCAGCCCAAATATGACAACAGTATTCCATACAGGAACGAATAAGAGATTTGTAGAGGTAGAGAATGGAATCAGAAGTAAGGAAATGGCGAGCACGATAAAGAGAAGCAACCTTAGCAGAAGCTAATTTAGCAATCGATTGTATATATGGTTTCCATGAAAGGTCAGTAGTAAGCGATAATCCAAGAAGACGTAAAGAGGAGGACTCAGTAAGAGGATTGCCATTCATTAATATAGGAATGTTGACCATATTAGGGTAGTTGTTTGCAGTAAGCAACTGGGTTTTTTTAGAGTTGAAATTCACAAGCTACTGTGAATTTCAACTCTGAGACTTTTTGTCAACACAGGAGTATAAAGTTGAGTCATCAGCAAAAAGAGCTACTTTAGATGAAAGGTTGTCAGGAAGATCGTTTATGTAGATAAGAAACAAAACAGGGCCCAGGATGGAACCTTGGGGAACCCCAGAAGTTACTGGAAATAAAGAAGAGTGTTGGCCTTCAAGGATGACTTTAATAAACCGGTTAGAAAGAAATGATTTGATAATCTCAAAAACTTTACCAGAAACACCATATGAAGCAAGCTTATGGAGAAGACCAGCATGCCAAACTTTGTCGAAAGCTTTAAATATGTTGAGAGCAATAGCCCTAGCCTCACCGCCTCCATCTAATGCACGATAAAATCTTTCAGTTACAGCAGTTAGCAAGTCGGCCGTAGAGCGAGAGGATCGAAAACCGTATTGATTGTCTGACAGCAGTTTATTTGACTCAAGATGAGATGTGAGGAATTTGTTGATCAAAGACTCAAAGACCTTGCTAATAACAGAAAGAAGACTGATCGGACGATAATTGGAGGGGTCAGAATTTTCTCCAGAGTTTTTGAATATTGGAACCACAGATGCCATTTTCCAACAAGCAGGAAAACAAGACTCAGTCAAACACTTGTTAAATAGTTTAGAGAGAATTGAAGAAAGTTCTGGAGAACAATTCTGCAAGACTGTGACAGGAATGTTGTCTGGACCACAAGCTGTAGACGAGTTTAATTGAGATATGACTTTAGCAACAGAAGCCGGTTTGATTTGAATGTCTAACAATGGGTCAACCTGTTTGACTGGAATGGAAGGAAGAGAATGTCCATAATATTCAAGAGTGGAATTAGAAAAAAAGTTCTTTGCAAATAGTTCTGCCTTATCCTTGAGAGAGGTAAAAAGATCAGTCCCATAAATGAGAGATGGAATGTTAGATCTACTCTTGTTAACAATGCTGTTGAAGATTTTCTAAAAGTCTTTAAAGCCTAACTTCTGCGATAAGATGCGAGATTTAGTGAACTGAGAATAATGGAGTTTAGCATCAGAAAGCATCTTTTTACACCGATTTCTTGCAATAATAAATAGCCGTTTGTTTTCAAGAGAGTTGTTCTTTTGAAAAAGATGAAAAAAATGATTACGATTGGATATAGCAGCCGCACAAGAAGGAGAAAACCATGGAGTAGAATGAGGCTTGACTTGAAACCGACGAGAAGGAATAAAAGCTTCCATTCCAGCCTGAATCCAGGAGGTTACGTAGGAGGCGCATTTGTCAGCTGAGAGAGAAAAAACATCAGCCCAAGGACCATCACGAAGAAAATCACGAAAGGAATCCCAGTCAGCTTTAGGGTAGTAGTAGGTGGTGCGATGATAAGTTGAGCCCAAAAAAGACGTACAAGAAGAAAGATTTATAGTGATCATTGCATGGTCAGAACCACCTAAGGGAGAAAAGGGAGAAACTGAACATAAGCTAGGGTCAGAGACAAGACATAAGTCAAGGAGTGAAGGTAAATGATTAGGGTTGTCAGGAAAACGAGTCACAAAGTTAAATATCTGAGTAAGAGATTGAGAAATGCAGAACTTAAAGGCTTTAGTGCCAGCAGGATCAGTGGTGTTAGAGCCAAGCCATTCAGTGTGATGGGCATTAAAATCACCAACAACAACAATACTGGCAGAGGGGTAAAGAGAGAGGGCATGGTCAATTTGATCAGAGATAACATCTAAGAGAGTGCAATCATGGGAAGAAGGAGAACAATAAAGAACAAAGAGAAAGGTGATAGAGTGAAGAGGTGCTAGGCAAAAGCACATAAAAGAATGGTCAAAGGATTCGAACCTGATTTCACGTCAAATAGGGGAATTAATGCGTATGTATACCCCTAAACCTAGCATGTGACTATTTGAGTCTTTACAAATCAAAGGATAGTACCCATCAACACTGACATCTGAAGAAGGAATTGCAGAATTTAAATTTGTTTCACTGAGTGCAAGCAAGTCTGGTGAATTTTGCAGGAGGTAAGACTCAACTGATGGAAAGTTGCTTCGTAGACCGCGAATATTTATAAAAGATATATTAAAATATTTAGGTGGTGGGGATGGTTTTTTAGGTTTTAAATTTTTGGTTACTTTGGTCATGATTTGGGTTTAATGAAAACTCATTCATAGATAGAGCACAGCCTCCTAATCAATGAGCTATGCTGTTGTCTCAGTCCTGTTAATTAACCCTAAGCCGTGACATAGGGCTCCTTATGTGGCCTTGACAATGCACACCAAAAGCATTAACAGGGACACCATCCATGCGCAACATAACACTGTTAATACTCTGATATTTTGCAGCTGTTGATGGAATCAGCCTCTCTGAGAGCTACCACAGAGTTCCGGAAACCTTACTACCAGCCGGCCTCAGAACTATTAAACTGAGTTTTAGAGCTGTACCCTCATATGGAGATAACAGGAAGAGTTGCATAGCCATTATCAAGAAGGCATAAGTAAAATTCTATGAGTAGAGTCAAGGAGATCCAGCATTCATCATCCTAGGCAGGAAACAATGTAACACAGGTTACATCTACGCCAGCCTAATAGATGAAGAAGGGGTTCGAGGCTTTTAAATTGGGTTTTATATTAATTAAATAAATTTATGTTTGATTGAGTGAAAACATTTTAACATCAAAAACACTTCAGTAAATAATTCTACTATTTGTTCTCTTGCAACAAAATGTAATAATGAGTCCAGGTATTTTTCCTGGTGTCCACCTGCTGGGTTTTATGTTAATTAAATAAATTTATGTTTGATTGAGTGAAAACAGTTTTAACATTAAAAACACTTTAGTAAATAATTCTACTATTTGTTCTCTTGCAACAGAATGTAATAATGAGTCCAGGTATTTTTCCTGGTGTCCACCTGCTTTGCATACCAAGACTGAATATTTTTATTGATACTATTATTTAAAGAAATGCTAACCAAA